ATTAACAAATCAGACAAATTTATTTCACTTTTTTCATTTTGTTTTTCAAGTTTCTGCTAAAACATAGCTCACAGCAAATACAAGAATGTCCATTTCCCACAAATTAAAGCTACTGCATTTGAACTTTCATTGACATTACTTAGTAAATATGGTGGATGCAGAAAGTTAAAGACATTGCAAAAGGTGGTGTGGACTATAGCTTTGAGTGTGCAGGAAACTTAGACGTGCTACGGGAAGCCTTTCTATCCAGCCACGATGTAAGATTATGATTCTCAAGCTGTTTATGTATATCTCAAAGTACGTACATTGTATGGACATATTTAAATTTGGGAAATTCGATGCGTCGCCTTAAAGTATATAGTCCATCTTATCAAATAAGTCGTAAGTGTAACATATTAATGAGTCCCCTCTTGTCGTACTTGTGCTTACCATATCCAGATCCACTCTTGTTATTGCAGGGTTGGGGATTGACAGTAGTTTTAGGGGTTCATCCATCCCCAAGTCTTCTCCCTTTACATCCAATGGAGCTTTTCGATGGCCGAAAAATCGTGGCATCAACCTTTGGCGACTTCAAGGGCAAGTCTCAACTGCCTGATTTTGCTAAACAGTGCATGGATGGGGTGAGTTTTTCACTACCATTCAAATTCCATGTGATTCTTGTTCGTCCTCTTTGGAGTTGATACATATATACTATAGGATACTTAAATAGTTCTAGTTTTTCAGGTGGGTAAATTGGATGAGTTCATCTCTCATGAACTGCCTTTTGAGAAGATAAATGACGCTTTCCAGCTACTTATTGAGGGGAAATCATTGAGGTGTCTTCTTCATCTTTGAAATGTAATTTGTCCATCGAGCAGATATATTCATCTACAGAATCATATTTATAGTTTTATTTGTGTTTTTTATGTATTCAAGATTATGGGATCATATATATGTTCTTTTGCTTTATAAAAAAGTTTTTAATTACTCTAGAATTTACTAATTTGTTCCCGTTTGGCGTAGATTAAATAGTATATTAAAATTCAAGTCAAAATCAACAATTAATTTTAACAATACATTTCGTAAGATCCATAACTTTTCAATAACACATTTTATCAACTTTTATAAAAAATTAGTGGTCAATTTTTGTGTTTTAGTTTTTATTTTTTTGATAGATTAACCTAAGTGGCACGTAGGGATTTAAACGAGTTGGGTCGAGCCGGCTCGCTAGTCTAGAGTTTCAGCTTGGGCTCGGCCCGATTAAAATGACCGAGCTTTTTTGCGGGCTCAAGTCGGGTCTAGCCAAAAAAATAGGCTCGGCCCGAGCCGGGCAGGCTCGTTCCCTCTCCCCCCTCCCCTCCTCACAGGCCAGTTCGGACAAAGCCTGTGTCTCCAAAATGGGGCTCGACCCGAGCTTAGGCTCGGGTCTACCGAGCCCTGAGCCGAGTCACGGACGGCCCGAGCCGACGAGCCCGATTGCCATTCCTAGTGGCATGTTTTATTGATAACAAAGAAAACGGCACTAAGAGGACGCAGGCCTAAGTGCCGAACTTGGAAAAAGGAAAAGAAAATAAAAGAATTTGTTGTGTCTGATGATGAAGCATAGTACAATGTAAAAATAATGGATACATAATATATCCCATGCTACAAGAATTCCTTCCGGAGTTTATTCAAATTGATTGATGTTGGTCCTATGATGCAATAAATGTGAAAGATGTGAAGGTTATTTGATACAAAGTATGTAATAATACGAGTAAGTTGCTACTTCCAAATAAACTCAAAAATTTTCTTAACTATTATAATTCAATGAGTCGTGTCCATCATCTTTATCAAATACCTAATGTGAGGTTAAATTGATCGCGGGTTAAACTTCAATGAACACATATTATTGGTAATTTTCTCAAGATCATTTTTTTTTCTATTCGTACATAGCATATTTAAAGATGTAAAAATCATACCCCATATTATATGAAAATTAAACCATGGTTAAGGGTGGGTGCGGGTCGGTTCGGTAACCAAAATTTTCGGGTATCTAGTAAATGGAACCGTCGGGTCCAAATATAATTATGGAACCGTTCGGGTTCGGTTCCGTACGGTTCAGTTCGGTTCTGTTCGGTTTTGTACTATAATTAAATTTTTTAACATTTATAACAACATTACATAAATACAACTAATGATATATTCAGTGGTTTTGGAATGCCATAGAATAGTACACTACCTTGTTCAAATGATCGATGCGGTTAAAGTTTCGGTCGGCGCAGGTCGCAACTTCGATCGGAGGTCACAACATTTACCGACGATTGTATAGGTTTGGAAATGTCAGCGAGGCTGCGAGAGTGAGTGCAAGAGTCGAGACAACGTTATGGACTTTAGTGTAGGTGTTTAGAGTTATTTAGTGGATTGGATCTTGTTGGGCTAAGAAATGAAACAATAAAATGGGTAATTGGGCCAAAAATTTAAAAATTAGAAATGAAACAAATTATTGGGCCAAAAATTTGGATTTAGAAATTGTTAATTTGTTAATTTGTTTAGAAAAAATTAAAATTAAAATAATTTGATTTACTCAATATAAAAAAAATTAGAAATATTCAGTTCTTCGGTTCTTGGTCTAGAACCGAGAATCGAACCGTACTCGTCGGTTCTCAATTCAGATACCTGTTCGGGTATTTAATTTGACAAGAATCGTCGAGTTCGGTTCAGTTCGGTTCGAGAGATTTGCCTAGCCCTAATTGTCATCTTTTTTTATTGTTCGTTACTTTTTTTTTTATTTATGTCAATTTTTAGTGACATGTATCTTTTTTTAATAAAAGTGACATTGTATGTCAATTTTTAGTAAAAAGTATCACTTAACTTTACACAATATTTTTTACTTTTAAAACATCTTTCATATGATTTTTTAAAAGACCTCTAAATTTAAGAGCATTTCTGTAAGTTGCACTTGGAAGAATTCGTAGGTAAGACAAAAATGAAACACAAAAATCACAGCCACTAGATATTAAGCGAGGCAAGCCTTGAGCGCCAGTCGATCAGTGATTTGGTCATACGATTCTTTTCGCTTACGAGCTCGTTGGCTCCTGGCAAAGCAAATTGATTAACCTAATTGAGAGAAATATACCATTTCAATAAAAATAAATACAAAAATTGACCACACGTTTGTTAAGTGAGTTGGGTCGTGCTCGGCTCGTTCAATAAACGAGCACAAAGTCGATATCTATAGTGAGTCTAAAGCAAGTTAGCTCACTTCATTTAGTGTGTGTTTAAGTCACATTATTTTGAAAGAATGTATTTTGGAATAGTAAATTAATGGAGAATGTGTGGTTAAAAAATGAGAAATTTTTTTGAATTTGTATATAATATTATTTTATTGAATAATGTGTTGTTGAAATGATATCAAATCACTATTCAAAAATGTATTTTTTGAAAGAATGCAGCTCAAACAGTGTCAATCAAGGACTGAGCAAAATCTTAGTTCAATTATAATAAGTTAACTATATAATTAATATCGAACAATTAATCAAAAAACTAGTCAATTAAACCAAAATTTGAGAACCGAGTTTTCCCATTGCAAAAAATTTGGTTATAAGAAAATACTGAATACCCGTGTTGGCTTACCAAGTTGATCATGATATGATCTAGTGCTTTCTAGGACAGATTGTGGCTTCAACTGGGGTATTTCTGTGAGTTCTCAGAGATTCGTATTCACATATATGAGAATTATATAAGAAGAAGAATAATCTTTGATTCCTTTTTGAAGAAGAAGAACTAGCTTTTTTTTGAGTAATATATACATAATAGAAAGGTTGCCCAGGAGATTAGCAACCCATTTTCCTAATTTTCAACCCATATAACTCTTCAATATCCATTTCTTTAGTCACATAATTGATATACTTTCAAATTGTGATTTCAATGAAGCAAACTTATTCAATACAATTCTAATATGGGATTGATAAGCTCCAATAAAACACACTTATTAATATTACTAGTCTTTGTCAAGTGTGTTGCACGAATTTTGTATTTATTGTATTTTCATTAGCTTGTAAATTGTAGATTTTTCTGTTGAAGATCAAAATTGCCACTTTGTAACTGTAGGATTATGTTGTTGAATAAAACAGTTTCTTAAACAGTACATTTAATAGCAAATTGGTTCAATAATTTATTCAACAGCATAAAATTGAACATTTATGCCTAGAAAATTAATAGTTTCTTAAGAATGAAAAGCAAACTTTTTAAAATAAGAAAAAAAATTCACAGAAATACTCAATTACAATCAACAAGATCAAATATTAATTAATTCAGTTATATCCCTATTATATAAAAAGGAAAATCTGGAATGAAAAGCAAACTTTTTAAAATAAGAAAAAAAATCACAGAAATACTCAATTACAATTAGCAAGATCAAATATTAATCAATTCAGTTATATCCCTACTATATAAAAAGAAGAATGTGGAGTTATTGTAGAAGTAAACAGTGAATTGTTCGATTTTATTTAATTCAGTGATAAAATTGATGAAAGTTGCTTATTTGGTAATGATTTTGATATGAGACATGTTAATTTAACAGGACGTTGTATCATGAAAGTGTTAAAATGAAAAATACGTTTTTTAACCTGTATCCACAACGCATGGTCATAACTCTCGTTTTACCTTTTTCGAGCTAGGATGCCACGCAAAGATTACGTAAAATACCAATTATTACTTGTTATGACTACCAACTAAGCATTACTGTGATTTTTTTTTCAAATTTTTATTTTTTTAGATAATTAGTGATAAATGTGACTTGTTATTCATAATGCACTGTCAAAACCCTTATTTACCTTTTCCATATTTATTGTGCCACCTAACGATTTCTCGAAATGTCATGAATTATTACTTATTATGATTATCAATTAAACAATTTCTGTCAAATTTGAAAACAACCGATTACTAAATATAAGAGAGTTACAAAATTTGAAATTAATAAATTGAAATTCAATCAATGCAATAAAATTTACCCAATAATGGGAAGAGATTTTTGATAGCTTCAAAGAATATTTCAACACTTTATTAAAGGAACTTCACAGCCAGAGTCCACAAGAAAATGTCTTGTAAAACAAATGATTGGGGGTATGCCCAAAAACTTCTCTTTTATTGCTTTCACTACCCTTTGACAGTCCCTTCATATTTCTTCTCAGCTTATCCACCTGCACATGTTTTTCAATTTATAAACATAAACATATAAATATAAATAGCCCAGTTTTCTTTAGATAAAATAAATAAATATTCAAACTAAGCACAAAAAATACATGGAAGGATACATGCTATTGGGAGCTTTCAAAAGTAAAGGGAAATGCATAGCTTTCTCTCTCTAAGCTCTTAATATGCATTTTGTTTTGGGTCTAGAAATGAACAAAGGGCTTCATGAATGCAAATTTGCTGAAAAAGGGATAAACAAAATGTCATGAGATCAAATCTCGTAATATTCATTTTTCCACATAAATTTAAACATCATTATTCGTTCATCAAATGGCAATGGAAATAAGTAGAGAACTTGTTCATACATTGGTGGACTAATTTTTGCTTATCTGACTTAAAGCAGAGCTCTCTTGAACTATATCGTAACATGTAGTGATGGAGAAGCTCGATTCAGCTAGTTCCTGCAACTCCTTCGCAGAATTATCATCCAATAACACTCGAAGTTTCTCTAACCGGTGCTGTAATACACACACTTTCTTATTGAAATTACTACAATTTCGAAACTCATGGCCTTTAGCTGTGGAACTCTTTGTTAACTCCTCTAGCTTTTCTACTAAATCTTCAACCTCTTCCTCCAACACTGCACTCACACTCTTCCCTTCAAAAATCTTATTTCTTCCCTAAAAATTAACAGGGAATCAAAAATAAGTACATAATATGCAAATATCACTCGTTTCTTACCAATTAATCCATATAACCCCAACCCCTAAAAATCCCACTAAGTATAATCAAATTCCAGCTCAAGAAATTACGGTCCCCCAAAATAACTTTAGAAAATAATCGGCTTCAAGTAGCTTCTATTCACATTATAAACTGCAGCAAAAACAAAGAAAAGAAAAATCCAAAATAATTGTGAGAGTCTGTGTATGAGGTTAAGAGGGGCTATCAATAATAGTCAATAGTTGAAGAAGGGTAAAGGAATATGCTACTGCACACCTTTATAAAGTGGGGAAGCTTTTGCCTTTTTTATTTTGGTTTTAACAAGAATTGCTATATGGGCTTGCTTTCTCATCATCATCTTCTGTTGCTGTTCATTACTACTGTCCGAATGCTTTTTGGTGTTGGGTTCTTGCAAATCTGATTGATTCGAGTCATATATGTAAGGAAAATTGAATACATGCAGTCTTAAAATCAATACACACGAATAATATGTTTTAAATAAGTTCAAATTTATCAAAAGATTTTTTTTTTTTGTATATGGAGATGGATCCCCCTGTGATACATGGAGATGTGAAGCTGAGCAATGGTTGCTTGATTCTGAGTTTAGAGCTAAGCTTTCGGATTTTGGTTTGGCAAAATTGAAGCTTGAGGGTGATGGGGTTGATTTGTATAGCAAAAATTCCTGCCATGTGTTCGATTGGCATTTTTAGGCGTTGCCCATTATAATTACTCCAAATTACAGTCTTTGAAGGCGACGGAGATGAAGAAGAAGGCACAAGCAGCAGATGAGGAGGCTAGAAAATTGTTGGAAGAAAGAAAAGAAGGTGGAATGGAGAAGAAGGGAGATGCATCGGTGTACTTGGAAAATTATTGAGTTAGGGAAGACACCACATCTCCGTGTGCACGGAGTCTGCACTCTCCATGCACGGACAGAGTGCACTCCATGTACAGAGAGTCGTACTCTCCGTGTACGAAGATTGCACTCTCTCGAATTTTTTTTCCTCTTTTTCTTTAAGCTAAGTAAGGTTGCTCGTTTTTTTACAAAATTTTGGTCAAATTTAATTGAAAACATACTAATGAACAAAAAAGGGGAAAAAAAAGGAAATGAAAATTAATATGACACAATAAAAGGATATACATAGCTACAATACAACTAAACACTTCACATATGAACAGTGAAGATGTACTATAAATGCGGAGTAAAAAGGGATTAAAAAAAAAGAAGAAGAAATGTCACTGTATCAAAACAACATGACGCCGTTTTTACTTCTTGATGAAAAAAAAAAGAATTTACTATAGTGAGATAAAATGGAACAATTCACTGTTCACTTCTATAATAACTCCACATTCTTCTTTTTAAAAAAACTAGTCTTTGACACGTGCGTTGCACGAGTTTTGTATTTATTGTATTTTTATTAGCGTCAAAATTGTAGATTTTTCAAAACTGGTTGAAGATTCGAAATATTTGGTAAAATCTAATCGTTGGTTCATTACATTATCGTAGGATGCATGGAGATTTTTTTTCGTTTTTTATTTTTTATTTGTTTTGTTCATATTATAAATATTTTTTTTCGATTTAAAATCCTTTTTAATTTTTTTTTCTTTATGAAAAAACTTAATTTTTTTAATTTTAATTAAAAAATATTTATATGTTCTTTATTTAATCTTCGCAACATTCTTTTGTTTAATTTGTTTTGTTTTTATTATATATTATTTGAAGATTGTTTTTAAAAAAAAAATCTTCATATTATATATAATTTTTTGTTTGATTTAAAATTCTTTTTTCTTCATATTATAAAAAAACTAAATGATTTAACAAATTAAAGATATTAGCATCAAAATTGTAGATTTTTCAAATTGGTTGAAGATTTGAAATATTTGGTGAAGTCCAATCGTTAGGTTCATTGGATTATCGCAAGATGCATGAAGATTTCTTTTTCGTTTTTTTCCTCATTTATTTATTTATTTATTTCTTTTGTTTATATTATAAATATTTTTTTTAATTTAAAATCCTTTTTAATTCTTTTTTCTTTATGAAAAAACTTAATTTTTTTCAATTTTAATTAAATAATATTTATACGTTCTTTATTTAATTTACACAACATTCTTTTGTTTAATTTGTTTTGTTTTTATTATATATTTTTTAAAAATTGTTTTAAAAAAAATTTCTTTATATTATAAATAATTTTCTGTTCGATTTAAAATTCTTTTTTCTTCATATAATAAAAGAAATTAAATGATTTAACAAATTAAAAAAGAAAAAAATTGCAAGAAAAAAAAAGTTATTATAAATTTTTTAATTAAATTGAAATAATTAAAAATAAATTTTATTTAATTAAAATTTAAAAAATGATAAAATGAAAAGAATTTTAAATCGAAAAATATATTATTTATAATACAAAGTAATTTTTAAAAAAATATAATAAACATAAAACAAATTAAAAAAAAGTTATGAGAATTAAATGAAGAATATATTAATATTATTTAATCAAAATTAAAAAAATTAAATTTTATCATAACGAAAAAGAAATTAAACAGAAAACACTCTCCTTTCAAATGAGAGAATTCAAACTCTCGAAATGAGAGATTCTCTTTGTTTCTCTTTGTGGATGGTGGAGAAAAAAATTTCCTTATTTATTTTTTTTTTAATTTTTTTCATGTTATAAATAATTTTTTTCAATTTAAAATTGTGTTTTTAATTCTTTTTCTTTATGATTAAACTTAAAATTTTAATTTTAATTAAATAATATTTATATATTCTTTATTTAATTCTTGTAACTTTGTTTTCTTATATATTTTTGAAAATTGTTTTGAAATTTCTTTTTTCTTCATATTATAAGTGAATAATTTTTTATTCGATTTAAAATTCTTTTCGTTTTATGATACCACGTAATTTGTTCAATTTTATTTAAATAATACTTATTTTTAATTATAATTATTTCAATTTAACAAAAAAACTTTATCACACCCTAAAAGACAACAAAAATCATGCACCATCACTACAGACAGTGCATTAAATATACAAAAAAAAGAACATACCTAAACTTCAATTTCTTCTGAGATTTCACGGTATTTTGGGAGCGATTTGTTAAATCTCACAAAAAAACAAAAATAATGATTTAGCAGTAAAATATACAGCAAAAGAAATTGAAGGTTTAAAGATTGGGTATACAGATAATTGTCTCAATTGTGCGTGAAGTTATTGGGTATTTTTGGAACAATCAAGTGATGGAGATTGAAATTAAGGTTAAAGACCGAGAGAAATCAGTATCATAGTAATGCAGAGTAAGAGGGAAATTAAGGTTAAATGCAAAAAAAATTGTGTTTTAAATGAAAAAAATTAAGAAGAATTTTAAATTGAAAAAAAATATTTATTCAAAAAAATTAATAAAAACAAAATAAAAGAAAGTTACAAAAATTAAATAAAAAATATATAAATATTATTTAATTAAAATTGAAAAAAAAAGTTAATTTTATTATGAAGAGAAAAGAATTAAAAGGAATTTTAAACTGAAAAAAAATTTATATATATCTCCATGCATGGAGAGATTTGTCTCCGTGCATAGACAATGCCTCCGTGCACGGAGACTTATATTTGAGATTTTTTTTTTTGTTGGGTAGTTTTACATTATAAATAATTTTTTGCAATTTAAAATCCTTTTTAATTCTTTTCTCTTCAAATTTTTTAGTTACAAGTAACTTTATGTAAAATATTTTATGTCTTATATTATTTTTATTTTTATATAAAAGTGATTTTTTTCTTATATATATATATATATATATAAGTGGTTGAGCACGGAGTGGTGGGAGGAATGAAAATTACGTGTTGCAATATTTTCTTATTGTATAATAAAATATACATCAAGTAAGGCAAACGACGTCGTTTTACTCCCCTACTTTAGAAAAAAAAAAGTTACAGTGAGATAAAATGGATTAAATTACTGTTGTTTTCTACAGTAACTTCACATTCTCCTTTACACAAATACAATGAAACAAAAGAATAAAAAATAAAAATTATAAATGAACAAACTTGAGGTCCCACAGCCCAACTTCTAGCGAAATTTTGTGGCATTTTGGTAACAATTTGTTAAATTCTCGAAAAAAATTGGAAGATTCACGACAAAAAATACAAAAGAACATACCTAAACT